TTTTTTTAATTTATTTTTTATTTATTTATTTATTTTGTGGAACCGGGGATTGAACTTAGGCCCTTGCACTTGCTAGGCAAGCGCTTATTCTACTGAGCCATCTCCCCAGCCCCCTACCGTTTTCCTTTAAAGACCACACTTTTTCCTCAGCTTGCTGCATCTTCAATTTTTATGCTGTTGAAAGAATATCTTCTTTATTACATCTTCTGTCTGCAGTAGGGTAGTTGATTCCTAAATACTGGCCTCGTGTCATCAAGCAGTCTTACCAGACTGTCTTACTGGTTTAAATGATTTACTGCACCGTCTTCTGGACTTGCTAGCTGTACTGTCATGAGAATGGTGACTATCCTGCTGCTGAGCTCGGGTGCAGGGGAAGGAACGTCACAGGGGTCACCCTTGTTTCCCATCTCAGAGATAGGGAGGACCTTCTGCGTTTCCCCAGCTGCTTTATCTGATTAAAGAAGTTGCTTTTATCCCTTGTTCTATTTTTGTTTTTAATGTTTATTTCTCCCCAGTACTGGAGATGGAACCCCCAGGCCTTCACACTGAGCTGCATCCCCAGCCCTTTTTGTTTTTTGGATGGGCTTTCTAAGTGGGAATTGAGGGGCTGGAGAGATGGCTCAGTGGTCTAAAGCACCTACTTGAAACAAGCTTGGCTAAAGCACAGGGACCGCGGTTCGATCCCCAGCACCACATGCCAGCCAGACCCGCCCCCTGGTGGGCTGAGCTGGCCACACACACACACAATAAATAAATGTAATAAATAAAAATAAATAAATATTTAAAAAAAAAAAAAAGTGGGAATTGAACCTGCAGCCCTCTTGCCTTCATCTCCCAGAGTTCTGGAGTTACAAACATGCGCTACTTCACTCAGCCCATTCCTTCAGTTCCTTGTTGACTAATGGCTTGGACCCAGAACTTTCCAAATGATAATGTGTTCAAACACTCTACCACTGAGCTACATCGCCAGCTGGTTTTGGCTTGTTTGTTTGGTGCTTGGTTCTGGTTTTGGTTTGGTTTGCTTTGATTTTTGAGACTGGGTCACTGGCCTTCGCCTTGAATTCCTGGCCTCAGGTGACCTTCCTTCCTGCCTCAGCTTTCCAAGTAGCAGGGACTGCAGGTGTGCACCCGTGCAGCAAGAAAAGCATTATAAATTTAGGATTACCCTCCAAAGGTGTATGTACTACTTTGTGTTCCAAAATTTTGATAAATAGCATTTTCATTAAGCATTTAAATTCAGAATATTTTCTAATGTAGGATAGACTTTCTGCTGAGGTCCGTTGCTTATTCAGAAGTTTTTTTCCCACCAGGGTGTGGTAACACATGCCTATAATCTCATTACTCAGCAAGAGGATTGCTGTGGCCAGCCTGGACTGCAGAGTGAGATCCTATCACCAAAAAAAAAAAAAAAAAAAAAAATTGCATTTCAGGGCTAGCAAGATAGCTCAGCAGACCAAGCACCTCCTTAAGCAAGTGCAGGGACCAGGGTTCGATCCCCAGCACCACATGCCACACCAGCCCCACCCCCGGGCGCACTGAGCTGGCCACCGAGACTGGGAGTAGTGGTGCATGCCTGTAATCCCAGTGCTGGGGAGGCTGAAAGCAGGAGGATCACTACAAATCTGAGCTGCATAGTGAAACCCTGTACCAAACACATTAAAAAAAAAAAAAATTGTATTTCAGGTTTATATTTTATATTCTAGATTAAACACAATGTAGTCTGAGAACCTAGGATCTGTGTCCTATGAAGTACTCACAAACAAATATCAGACAGTTTTGTAGTCAGCCTTTTATGCTTAATAGTACTGTTCCTTTGGAATTTGTTTTTAATTGTCGAGTTGGCTACAGACCCCGAATGGAAATGTATTTGCCTAAAATTCACAATGACTGACCTGACTCTTCTGCTCCGCTGGCATAACGTGGCATACAGAAGTCCCCATGGGAAGAGGCCCTGCTTCTTCCTCTGGCCTGAAGTAGCTCTATCTTCAGCACCGTGTGTTCCTGGCCCCGTCTCACTTGGCTAAGGGATTGGAGCCAGGACTGTCACATTTTATAGGTTTGTGAGTAAAACCCATTTGTAATGAGAAAACTGAGTCACAAGCAGCCACTTCTTGGTTTGTGTGCAGGCTCGAGGGCTAAAGAAGCAGGTGGTGGACAACTTCATCACCCAGAACAAGTACTTGCTGGCGGCCAGGCTCACCAGCCAGAAGCTGTTCCACGAGCTCTGCCCGGTGAAGCGGTCTCACCGCCAGAGGAAGTAAGGACTCGAGAGTCGCCTCTGCTTGTCATTGTGTAGGAGGGCCTGAAGCCTCGGACCACAGCGCCATCGAACATCTCCACGGGGACCAAAACTGGTCCTGACGTACTGACTGATGCGGGAGTTGGGGGAGGGGCATTTTTCCTGCATCTCTAAGGACCAGCCTGGCTGTGAGGTCAGAGATCCCTAAGCCATGACACTGAGTGGGGACCTGAGAGATGAAGAAAGAGACTTTCACTGGTGTCAGGGAGCCCAGGTCACTAGAGTGACACTGGAGTGGGAGAGAGGTGCAGTCCCTACCAGAGGATTTTCATGGCTTCGAGACCAGCCTGGGCTACATAGTGAGCTTGAGCCCAGCCTAAACTACATAGTGAAACTCTGTCTCAAAAAAAAGTTTTTTTTTAAATCCTAGACAGTAAGGATTTTTGTTGGGCCAGGGAGGTAGCTCAGCGGCATAAGCACCTGCCTGGCAAGCATAAGGTCCTGAGTTCAATCCCTGGTACCTTAAAAAAAAAAAAAGGATTTTGTTCACACAAATACTATACCTTGAAAGATATTCCGAATCCACTGCGTTTCTCACTTTTTCACTACCATCCCCCTAGAGCAGGCCACTGTTGTGTCCATGGCGGCTTTCCACTGGCCTCTCTGCACTCCCTCTGCACGCCTGCCGTCTGGGCAGCGTCCTGGCACCAGCCAAGGGTCTTCACTGTCCAGGCTGGGTCAAGCCACTCTCGGTCCCAAGCCTTCACGCTTGTGGCTCCCGGTGCCTGGGGTGCTCGGACCCCATTTCCTCTTCTGACGCAACTCACTCAGGTCTCTGCTCCTGTGCCGCCCTCCCAGGTGACATTTCCCTAACCAGTGACTTCCACCCCACGCTGGCCTTTTCCCACCTTCTTTTGTTCCTAGAACCCGTTATCAACCTGTTACTCTGCAGCTTCTTTATTTCTTGTCTGTCTTCCCCTCGAGAGAACATAAGCTGCGTGAGGTCGAAAATGTCGCCTTTCTTCCCCACGTTCAGTTAGTGCTCAGGAATGGGCCTAGACAAGAGAATGAGCAGTTTGGCTGCCCTGGGACCGTGCAGAGGACACCACTTCAAAGCGGGCCTGGTGGGCTCCTGCCTGAGATCCATCCAGCTAGTCCTCCCAGGCAGAACTAGGACAGAGAGCCACTAAGCGCCCTTCTGCAGCAGGGATTCTGTGACCGACCAGCTCCCAGAGGTCATGGAGGAGTTTGTTTGAGGAAAACATCACCAGTCTAGAGAGGGCAGGTCATTAATGAGTGACTTGGAAGTCTGTCCGCGGAGACGGCAGCCTTTGTCACGCAGATGTACACAGCCCTGTAAGACAGTGGCGCCCTCCTGTCATCTTTGCTGGCTGAAGCAAACCGGTTCTAGTCCTGGCTGGGCTGTTACAGAATCTCCTCTCTTGGTCTTCTGCAGGTACTGTGTGGTCTTACTGACTCCCGAGGCCACCAAGCTGAACAAACCCTTTGAGGCCTTCCTCTCCTTTGCCCTGGCCAACACACAGGACACGGTGAGGTTCGTGCACGTCTACAGCGGCCGGCAGCAGGAGTTCTCCAGCACCCTGCTGCCACACAGTGAGGCGTTTCAAGGGAAATCAGCGGTGAGCTCCGGGTTCTTTCCCAACCCTTCTTGGGGCCAGGGATGCACTTGCTTAGCATAGTGAGGCCTTAGGTTCCCTCCCCAGAACAGGAAAGATAATAAAGCTCAGCTTCGATTTTGTCATCATCTTAGTAATCATGGAGAACCTCTCCAAAAGCCAAAGCTTTGTTACAATTTTAAGTCACAGGTTATAGAATGCAGTCTTTTTTTTTTTTAAAAAGTCACCATAAAATCAGTTCCTTTTGAGCTAGGCATGGTGGCACACACCTGTAATCCCAGTACACAGGAGGCTAAGGCAGGAGGATCTCTTCATGTCTGAGGCCAGCCTAGGCGATATAGTGAGTTGAAGGCCAGGCTACACTATATTGCAAGATCCTTTCTCAAAAAAAAGAAAAAAAAAAAAAATCTTTTTGGAGGACTGAGCTAAGAGGATTGCTTGCACCTAGGAGTCAGGGCCAACTTGGGCATCATAATGAGTCCCTGTCTCATTCATGAATGGATGAATACATGCATGCGTGCCAGGGACAGTGGTACGTACTTTAAACCCAGTAACTCCTAGGGCCGAAGCAGAAGAATGCCAAGTTCAAGGCAAGCCCAGAGAGACCCTGTCTCAAAATGAAAATTAAAAACATTGGGGATAAAAAAAAAAAGGGGCTGGGGAGATGGCTCAGTGGAATAAGTGCTTCCCTGGCAAGCACAAGGGCCTGAGTTCAATCCCCAGTTCCAAAAAAAAAAAAAAAAAAAGAAAAACTCATATGAGGCTCTGGATTCCATCTCCAGTACTGCAAAATAATAATTCCTTTTGCCAAAAATAATAGTAATTCCATTTCTCAGGAGGATTTCAGTGCCTTGCTAGTATTTTACTTTTTTTTTTTTTCTTTTTTGGAACTGGGGATTGAACTCAGGCCCTTGTGCTTGCCAGGGAAGTGCTTGTTCATCTGAGCCATCTCCTTGGCCCCTTGCTAGTATTTTAGACCTTTCCCCTGTTTGTCTTGGAGCTTGTTACTGACTTCACGAGACCCTTCCGTCCAGCCTCCTGGGTTGGACAACTGCTAATGGCTTTCTCCCCTGCCCCCAGGTGTCGATCTTAGAAAGGCGCAACACAGCAGGAAGAGTGGTGTACAGAACCCTGGAGGACCCCTGGACCGGCAGCGAAAGCGACAAGTTCATCCTTCTGGGCTTCCTCGACCAGCTGCGGAAGGACCCAGGCCTCCTGGCATCCGAAGCTGTGCTGCCCGACCTGACAGATGAACTTGCCCCTGTGAGCATTGCCCGGGAGGCCGGGCCGCTGGGGACAGAGGTTCACAGCCACTCTGTGTCTGGGCAGAGGACCCTCGCTCCAGGCCCAGCCACGACCCCCACATGTCTGTCTCCCTAGGTCTTCCTCCTCCGATGGCTCTACTCTGCTTCCGACTACCTCTCTGACTGCTGGGAAACCATGTTTCACAGTAACTGGTAGGAACCGGCTGGGAATGTGGGGTCTTTCTCTGTGAATACCAGTGTCACCATGTGTCTTGGGAAAAAATGCTCTTCCCCTTATGCATGCCGCGGAGACCCTGCCAACAGCTGCTCCCCTCTTCCTCCTTTCAGTAACCCGCATTCTATTTGCCCACTCCCCCTTCCCGCTGGGTGGGAAAGGATCGCCTGGCCATGTCCTCCCCAGTTTGTCAGGGCCCCTGGTGCCAGGCCCGGGGCCCGCACACAGGAAGGCCCGCGAGCAGGTGCCCATAGGAGTCAGTGAATCAGTCAGGGACCGTTTTCCCCTCACATTCATGCTGTGACCAGCAGCCAGCACGGCACCCAGAATCTGGCAGGCCCTTGACAGGTACTAGTGGCTGAGCAAAGTCTTAGAACAGCCAGCCTGGAAGACATCCTGAAAGGATGATTTTCCCCTTCTGAACCTCATCTGGATTATTCTGCCGCCCAAATAATAATAATAATAATAAAATTGAGGTCATTCCGCAGACCGTTCAGTCGCTGATACCTCAGCGTCAGAAAATTCTCTTGTGTTTACAGCTAAAGGTCTTTGTTAGCCTTGTTATCATCACTCTTCTGCAGAATTTACTCAGCACAGCCTCTTACATCCCGAAGTACAAAACCAGCCTTTCAGAATAAGCTACCTGCAAAGTAGGGCACCAAGTACACAAGCCTGCCTCGCCCGCCACCCCCAGAGCAGGACTCACTGGGTGTGTTTCTCCTTGCGTGAGAGAGAAACCCGCAGGAGCTGACGCAGCTGTGTGCTTGGTTCCAGGCGGGAAATGATGCCCCTGCTGTCCCTGATCTTCTCCGCCCTCTTCATCCTCTTCGGTACCGTCATCGTCCAGGCATTCAGGTGGGTGCCAGGGCTACTCACAGTGCGCCCTCAGTCATCACAGCCATTTATTTATGCTCTGTCTGGAGGTTGGGCACAGTGGCACACACCTATAGTCCAGCTGCTTAGGAGGCTGAAGCAGAAGGGTTTCCTGAGTCAGGGAGTTCAAAGGCAGCCTGGGAGATGACCCTGTCTCAGAACCAGTCTTTCTTGTGAGGGTAAATGGTCTTTTTTTCATTCTTTAGTGACTCCAACGATGAGCGAGAGTCACACCCTCCAGATAAAGAGGAGGTTCCTGAGAAGGCTGGGAAGACTGAACCGAGCTTCACCAAAGAAAGCAGCAGGTTTCTCTGACCCACTCCATGCTCACCTGCCCTCTGCCCGGGGCCTGAGTGCATCTGCCAGGGTGGTGTGGGAGGCATGGCCAGTAGAGGGCGGAGAGGCTCCACCTCCCTTCCCTGAGCACAGGTTAAGCATCCCTGATCTGGAATCTAAAACGGCGCACCAAGATAACCTTAAGTAGAAAGACCCATGCCTGACCCCATGGACAAAGCGCAGGTACACTAAAAATACTCTGTGAAAGATCTTCAGGCTAGCCCAGCATGGTGCACACGCCTGTGATCTAGCACACAGCAGGCTGAAGCAGGAGGATCGGCAGAGCTCAAGGCCACCCTGAACTGCATAGGGAGCCCTGACCCCAGAAAAGGGAAAACCTTCACGCCACGTCATAGATGCACGTGAACCATAAGCGAGCTGCGTGCATAGGCTTGGATTCCATTCCTGAAGGAATCTCGTCGTGTATGGGAAACACAGTAAACCTTTGGTTTGCAAGCATAATTTGCTCCAGAACTATGCTTATAAGCAAATCACTTTTGTATCAAAGTGTATTTCTCCATAATAAATAATGGAGACTCAGATGATTTGCTCAACAACCCAAAACTACTCATGTAAAAATGATTATGGCTGATTGCAGCACATGCCTGTAATTCCAGCACTCAAGAGGCTGAAGCAAGAAAATCACTGTGAATTCAAGGTCAGCCTAGAGCACATAAGTGAGTTCAAGACCTTGTCTGAGGAAAACTATTATAATACTGTAATATAATACAAAATAATAAAACAAAATATAAAGAAAACAGGGCAGGAGAGATAGCTCAGTGGCCTAAGTGCATGCCTGGAAAATACAAGGTCCTGAGTTCAATCCCCAGTGTCAAAAAAAAAAAATTGACCTGCACTTACCTTTGAAAACCTTCATGTGCAGAGATGAGAGAGGACGATTTCACTGTTGCTACCGGGGTGGCTGCTACCTGTTGCCTCAGTGGAATCTTTCTTTTCATGAGTTTTCATAAGGAGCTGGGCGATGACACTTTTGCCTTCTTTTGAGGATTTCACAGAAACGTGACAGTGCGTTGTCCTTACATAGACCCATCACCTACACTGCTATCACCTTACTCAGGTGGTGCTTTTCTACACCTCCCTAATCTCATTTGAAGTGAGGGGTTCCTCCACTTTTTTCTCCTCCTCCCACCATCCTGCAGAGAGAGGGAGAGACAGCAAAGAGCACCTGGCTCAGTTGTGATCATGTGAGGTCTGTCATGTACTACTCATACCGCAACACATCGCCCGTTTATCAAGTTAAAATTGACCCGTCTCGCGGAACACTTGTGAAAACAAGTCAGTTGGGCTGGTGAGATGGCTCAGTGGTCTAAAGCACCTACTTAGAACAAGCTTAGCAAAGCACAGGGACCGCGGTTCAATCCCCCAGCACCACATGCCAGCCCGCCCCATCCCCTGGTGGGCTGAGCTGGCCACACACACACACACACACACAAATAAATAAATAAAATTTTTTTTAAAAAAAGTCAGTTGCAACCCAAGGTTTTACTGTATTCCAAAATGTAGGAGAAGGGGCCAGTGAGATAGCTCAGCAGTCTAAAGCGCCTGCCTAGGCAAGCTTAGGCAGGCACAGGGGACCGAAGTTCGATTCCCCAGCACCACCCTCAGGGTGGTTTGAGCTGGCCAAAAAAAGGAAAACAAAAGGTAGGAGAACATTCTGCTATCTATAACATTCCTAGGGCTGGGGAGATAGCTCAGTAGAATAAGTGCTTGCCTGGCAAGTGCAGGGTCCTGAGTTCAATCCCCGGTACTGTAAAAAAAAAAAAAAAAACACTCCTAGTCACAGATAATAAGCATGCAACCTGGACAGGGAGAGGTCGCTGCTGACTGGTGTCCACCAGAACCCTGTAGGTGTTCAGATAGATAGTCTTTTCACCTGTGGCTCCGGTTCCTCTGTCTCAGACGTAGTAATGCAGCCAAGAAGCGCCTCAGAGACAAGTGGGAGACCAATCTCTGCAGAAACACAGTGGCACTTCGCTGCCTCGTAAGTGTGCCTGTGACTGATGAGTCAGGGTCTCAGAGACAGACCAGAATGGAATGGTCCTTGACGTCTTCATTCTGTCCTAAGGCAGCTGCCACAGCAGCTGAAAAACAGAGAGACAGGGCTGTTGTAGGCTGGCATTACGTGCAAGTCAGGGTACGTGCAAGTCAGGGTGGTTCCATCCCGCCCAAGCGAGTCAATAGTAAACATCCTCCCAGTTGGTTAGAGCCCAGGATTTGCTCCTCTAGTGCCTCTTTCAAGTAGTGGCTGTTCCCGTCTCCTGACAATATCTTAAGTCTTCTGTGTTTCTCGACAGCAAGGTTCCTAAGAAAGGCTTTGTGGAGGTCACCGAGCTCACGGATGTGACATACACCAGCAACTTGGTGCGCTTGAGGCCGGGCCACATGAATGTGGTCCTCATCCTGTCCAACTCCACCAGGTCCGCCCTGCTGCAGAAGTTTGCTTTTGAGGTCTACACGTTCACTGGGTAAGTGTACATGTGTGTGCGTGTGCATGTGTGTGCAAGAAAGGAAGAGTGAAAAAAAGAAGGAAGGGTGAGGGAGAGAAAGTATACCATTTGAGGTCCTTTTGGATGAAAGACCTTGCGCCCTTTCCTCTGTGGCCCACGTGCTTTTGGTGTCCTGTTGGTGGACAGAAGAGCTTGACCCCAGTGGGACTCCCTGAACATTCTCAGGACACCGGCTGTTCCCAGCCCATGGGTGCTGTCTGGAAACCAGACCCAGGAGGCAGGCAAATGAGTAGAGTGACACAGCTGCCACCACGGCCATCTGGCTCCCCCCGAAATCCTTTATGTCTGTGTCCCGCCTCCAGCCTTTTGCTGTCACCTTGCGTCCCCTGCGGCCCATGTGTCGGCAGCACCCTGAGTCCCCCCTCGGTCCTTTGGCAGGAGCAGCTGCCTGCACTTCTCCTTCCTGAGCCTGGACAAGCACCGGGAGTGGCTGGAGTACCTCCTCGAGTTTGCCCAGGACGCAGCCCCGATCCCAAACCAGTACGACAAGCATTTCATGGAGCGGGACTACACTGGCTACGTGCTGGCGCTGAACGGCCACAAGAAGTACTTCTGCCTCTTCAAGCCCCAAAAAACAGTGGAAGAAGAGGAGGCCATGGGGTCCTGCGGTGATCTCGATGCCGCCCTGCACCTGGGTGAGGCTCGGGGGAAGCCATCCAGCGGCCCCGGGCCCAGGCCCCTCAAAGGCAAGCTGAGCAAGCTGTCCCTGTGGATGGAGCGCTTGCTGGAAGGGTCCTTACAGCGGTTCTACATCCCGTCGTGGCCCGAGCTGGACTGAGGGCTCCCAAGGAGCTGTGGACTCTTCAGGTTTTTAACCAGTCCCCAGAACAGGTATTTTCAGGACTCACCTCTCAACAATGCACAGAGCATAGATTTTAGATCACTCCTCCACCACAGTGGCAGGAAGACTCTCCGCTGTCCTGGGAGGGAACTACACCACAGGCTTGATGTCCCTAGATCAAGTTTTTTTCCCCCTCTGGGTTTTTTCTTCTGTTTTTTGTCCTCACTTGAATGCCCGCTATTTAAATAGACCACTCATTCCCTCTCCTCTGTTACCTCTCTCACGTGCTCACACCTCCCTCCCGCCCTGTCCCTTGCGCTGGAGAAGCACAGGGTTCACCCTGAGTGGTGCAGGACAGAACCCGGGCCTGACGCCTGCAGCCCCTCAGCCATTCCCGTCGCCCACCCTGGCGCTGCTGCTCCTGCTAGAGCCCAGAGGGGCCTTGCTCCAAGCAGTCTTTCCTGAAGTCGTTCTGGGAGCAAGCGTCAAGAAGTGTATTTGGGGGTATCCCCGCGACAGTTTGCCAGCGACAGTTTTGAAAGGATGGGAGAATGGGGGTTCTGCAGGAATTCGGTTTCCCCATCAAGCACAGGGAAGGGAAACCTGAGCCGTGTATCCCTGGGAAGGGTCCGCCCAGCAGGGAGCACCTTCAACAAGCCGTTGACCTGTGTTTTCAGATGCCTTTCTGCCTCTGTCCGGGTTAGGGTAAGGATATTAGGAGCCATACTTGTAACCTTGTTCTCTGAACGCATATAAGCTGCTCTGAAGCCAGTTGAGGTTAAACTGAAGACCAGTTATACCCGCCTGCCGGGGGTCGGTGGGGGAACCTCTTCTGTGGTCTCTAAGTCAAATACCAGACGCATCTTTGCCTCAAGGAACCTGAACTTCCTCAGCAGTCATATTTTGAACATTGTTGCTCCAAAAGAACCTCATCTTCAAGTCATCTCTTGTGACAAGTGAGCCGCGACTTGTCTTAGAACCCCATTTTGCAGTGGCTTCCTTTCCACTTCTGGCCTGAATTCCTGTGTCCTGGTTTCATCGCTGCTCCCTTCCCGTCACGCCCACAGCTCCCCAGAGTCAGGATCCCGGCAGTCACGGGGCCAGGGTCACGGTCACACCCGTCACCAGGGCTTTGTAAGCCTTGGGCCCGAGCCGGGTCATGCCGGCCTGAAGCAGGCATTCTCTGTTTTTAAGGCCAAACCACCAGTGAAGTTGGGACAGCTTCTAAGAGTGGTCTGCCCTGCTGTCAAAACAAATGCCCTTCTATACAATGAAGGGTGAAAATCAGGGATAGGACACGTACGGAGTGCGTATTTCACTAATCACAATTGCTTTTAACTAAGCCACTTGGATCCTTATAATCTCAACACTGAGCTGCAGTGGTACCTAATGATTATGTGAGCCTGAGGGTTCCTGTGCTTTTCATGGCCTCTTCTAGCTTTATTTAAAAAATGAACTCACTGCCAGGCGTCTCTTCCACATGATCCTCTAGACATGGATACTGACTGTGGGTGCTTTATCTGTAGCCCCTGGCCCAGTTAGAATTCATTTCACTGGCTCCTTGATCCACTGGCCTCAAAAATATTTTCTAGGGAGCCAGGGATATGGCTCAGCAGCACAAGCACCTGCCCAAGGTCCTGAGTTTGATTCCCAGTACCAAAAAAAGATTTTCCCCCTAGGATTTTTTGGCTTGGGTTTTGGTTTTTAACAGCCAGATTGCTAATCAGAGGAGTGTTTTGGTCCCGTAGTGGGTTATTTTTAATTTGGGATAATAATGATATCCCTGGCTTTAATTTGTAAAAACCAAAAAACCCCAAATGTGCTCTTTTTTAAAAGTTTGTATCATTAAAAGCACCAACAGCCAGCTGGACCTTCTGCTTGCCATGGGGAGGAAAATGGAGATGAAATTGACAATATTCCTGGCAAATGTTTTCGTCCAAAAGTTCTCCTTCAGATCTGTCTTGGGGCTGGTACATACATACCCCAAGAAGATGCTAAGACACTTTTGTGTTCTGTTGAACTTCACCTCTGACCATGCAAGCCTTTCCTCCAGAACGTTGTTGCCATGATTTTGTTTTTGTGTCAAACACATGAGCCACTGTCCCGCTCGGCCAGTGCTGCCATTTCTCATATGGAATCCTATGGGACCTGGTTTTGGTTTTTGACAACCAAATTTTCAAATATCAACACTGATGTTCTAAGGGGCAAGTGTCCCCTTGACACTGATATGGGTTTGGTAGATGGGTGAAAATAGCCTCAAACCGGTGCTGGCCACAACTGCTGCTTGAGGGCTTAGGTACTGGTCAGTTCGTCCAACACGGGGGTTACCGGCCCAACTCGCAGCATTGCAGCGAGCAGGCCTGACCTCCTTCCAGAAAGTGCCCTGCGCTCCTGGCTGCTACTCAGTCATAGTCTGGTCATAATTTTCATAGAGGTCGATCTCCTCATTCACGCTCTTCATACCTGTAGCCTTTTATTTATTATCAGGCTAATCGAGTTGTAGCTGCCATCAGGACTTAAGTGTTTTCTTGAATTAAAAAGAAATGAGGCTGGTCATGGTGACACATGCTTGTCATCCCAGTCTCAGCAGGCTGAGGCAGAAGGGTGGCTACAAGTTCAAGGCCATCCCGGGCCCTGAGTTCCAGGCCAGCCTGAGCTTCATGTAGCAAGACTCTGTCTCTGAAGGAAAGGAAAGGAGTGGACCTGACTGTGCTTTAAATGACTTGCCTTGTTCGGAAGTAGGAATGGGAAGCCAGCAGTCAGCCATTTTCTTTCCAATCGAACTCCTTAAAAGCTAGGGTGTGAGCTGGAGTTGAGGCCCAGGGGCAGCACACTCGCCTTGCAAGTGTGAGGCCCTGGGTTTGATCTCCACCATCGGGAAAACCAAAAAAAAAAAAAAAAGATACAAAACCATCTTTGCACATGAGATTCAGTTCATGTCAAATATCTGACAGCCTCCCCAGAACACAAATGCAAGCTAGTAGCTGCTGAATCTGTTTCAGAAAGGTGATTATACTTGAGAAACTGATCAGAGAAGAAGGTGAATATTTTGCACTTTTGATACTCTTTGGAACAAATAATTTATTTGGCAAATTGTATCTTTTTATGTTTGGGGGTTTTTTGTTTTGGTTTTTTGTTTGTTTGTTTGTTTTCAGAGGTATTGTCTGCCTTTTTGTTTGGTTTTTTTGTCTTAGGGTTTTTGTATATTTTTGTTTTCTTGTATTGTGAACAGGCACTGAAACTGATATTTGTTTTAAGAATATTACAGACTGGAAACAAATAAACTATTTTAATGTGTGATGACTATGGGACAGTTCTTTTTTGTTGTTTTGGGTTTGTTGTTTTGGGTTTTTTTTTTTTTTTGCGGAACCAGGGATTGAACTCAGGACCTTGCACGTGCCAGGCAAGCGCTTATTCTACTGAGCTATCTCCCCAGCCCGTTTTTTGTTTTGCAGTACTAGGGATTGTGGGCCAGGGAGATGGCTTAGTAGAATAAGCGCTTCCTTGGCAAGCTCAAGGGCCTGAGTTCAATCCCTGGTTCCAAAAAAAAAAAAAAAAAAAAACTAGGGATTGAACTCGGGAGCTATCTCCCCAGCCCCAGAGACAGCTCTTGTATCACAAGATAAAGACTTGCTTACAGCTATATTTCCGACAAAATTGAATTTCCCTGTAACCCTAACGCATGCTCAATAGTCAGCGTAGTTGAACTGCATGTTTCAGGAACTGTTGTCATAGTGTCTTGGCTTTAAGATAGAAAATGTGCTAAGTACTA